CATGTACAGGTGCATCTCAATAAATTAGAATGTCATGGAAAAGTTAATTTGTTTCAGTAATTCAACTCAAATTGTGAAACTTGTGTATTAAATAAATTCAATGCACACGGACTGAAGTAGTTTAAGTCTTTGGTTCTTTTAATTGTGATGATTTTGGCTCACATTTAACAAAAACCCACCAATTCACTATCTCAACAAATTAGAATACTTCATAAGACCAATAAAAAAACATTTTTAGTGAATTGTTGGCCTTCTGGAAAGTATGTTAATTTACTGTACATGTATTCAATACTTGGTAGGGGCTCCTTTTGCTTTAATTACTGCCTCAGTTCGGCGTGGCATGGAGGTGATCAGTTTGTGGCACTGCTGAGGTGGTATGGAAGCCCAGGTTTCTTTGACAGTGGCCTTCAGCTCATCTGCATTTTTTGGTCTCTTGTTTCTCATTTTCCTCTTGACAATACGGTGTGATTTATGATACTAGACTACATCTCAAGTCAGATTTGGGAACTGATAATATTTTTGCATGCAGCTCAGAAATAACAGCATGAATGTTTCATTTGAACAAGTATGGGTTGACAACGAGTGATGAAATGCATTTTTAAATTAGATTTTATAATGTTTGCACCTGAGGTGCACTTATAATCTCAGTATGTTTTTTTTTTTTTTTGGGTGTCATCAAAAATGGTCATAATTTAGATATAAATGGTAATTTTCCTGAATTTAGTCTCTTTTTGAGATTTGAGATTTTAAGGCTCTGTTGGAAGGGGCGTGTCTGCTGTTAGACTTCACAGGAAACTCCCTCTGCTATGATTGGCTAACATCTTTGCATATGAAATGAGCATTTACATGTGGAATTCTCCGGAAACTTTTACTGTTTTTACTATAACAGCCGCCAAGATGAACTATTGATTCATTTGGAGCTTGAGTCTGTGCAGTAGTGATTTGTTTGGAGTCAGAGTCGGCACTGTAGGGATTCATTTAGAGCCCGAATCTGTGCAGTAGTGATTCATTTGGAGCTCGAATCTGTGCAGTACTGATTCATTTGGAGCCCGAATCTGTGCAGTAGTGATTCATTTGGAGCCAAAGTTTGCCCAGTAGTGATTCGTTTGGAGGTAGAGTCTGAGCAGTAGTGATTCATTTGTAGCCCGAGTCTGTGCTGTAGTGATTCATTTGTAGCCCGAGTCTGTGCTGTAGTGATTCATTTGGCGCCCGAGCCTGTGCTGTAGTGATTCATTTGGCACCCAAGTCTGTGCTGTAGTGATTCATTTGGCACCCGAGTCTGTGCAGTAGTGATTCATTTGGCGCTCGAGTCTGTGCTGTAGTGATACATTTGGCGCCCGAGTCTGTGCTGTAGTGATTCATTTG